TCTATCAAAGTGTTGTGATTTTTATTGTATGACCCAACCGAGTATTGACTAGTAAAAACATTTAATAAAAACTAAAAAAGAAAGAGAATAACTGACGATATTTAATTAATTCATAGATTGACTCACACATTGATAACAACATCATTAGTATTACCGTTACCATCTGATGGTGGACCTTGAAAATCGTTATTACGTTCGAAATAATAACTGGACATGATTACAGGATATCCTAGAAGAATACTAATGGTTTTATTTCGAAAAAGAAACAGATAAATACGCACCGTAAGGCCAAGCGAGCATAAACGCGGTGCCAATTTTGTAGAGACGGCTATCGAAGAACGTCAAAATTTCACCCCCAGCACCTATACATAAAGAAAGGAAAAAATTATTTTTTTTTTAATAAAAAAATAGGTAAAACTATATTCATTTAACCATGGCCACGTTGATTATCGTGATTGTCAATCATAATTTGTGCATCACCATCGGGAATCATGCCCCAACCTATCGTAAGTATGTCAGAGTTTGATAACGTAATAGATCAATCCTACCAGTTCCAAAATTATTTAAATATTTAAGTTTTTGTCCGAATTTCTTTCGTACAACTTCGCTTAAGTATTTTCCGTAACGAAATTCAGATACACGACCTATCCACGTGTAATCTGTATTTTTAATTGGTTCACCACCAAGATCAATAACTTCAAAATAAATAAATGGTCGTTTATTTTGTCCAAATATACTAAAAACAAAACAAATAATATAAACAAAAATAGTAATCCTTCAATTTACTGTGATGGTAAATTATTTAATTTTCCAATCAATTTATTTAAATCATTTGGCCACATATGTTTAGCAGCATCGATACGAAAACCAGCAACACCGATTTCAATTAAACGATTCATATATTCAGCAATTTTGTTCGCAACATAATCTTTTGATAGTAATAAATCAGGCATACCACTCAATTTACAATTTCTAACCTATATAGACAAGAAAACAACTACAGTTGAAAAACCAATCAACTGAAGTAATATTATTCCACCTGATCAGCATCATTATAATTTTCAATACTTCCACTGCCAGTTTTACATAATGAATCGGCAAAATCTATTACCGAAATCATGCTTTTGTTTATAATAAAAAACTAATTGCAGTAAGGCTATCTTACCCCAAGCACTATACGGTACACTAGAATAATCCTTTGATCCCGAATTAAATGATGACCCTGAAAATCAAATTTTATTTAATTATCTAAAACAAAAGTTATTTTCATTTTCTAACCAGCAGATCCTCTATTTCCAGCTGCTGCCATATGGTTAATTATAGCATCAACGTAGATACTGTTTGAAAAAAAAACAATAGAACAATAAATCAATCGAAAAATTTCTTTTTTGGTGATCTTACCGAACGCCAGCATTATTACATCGATGAACCATATCAATAAATTCAGTTTCAGAACCACTTCTTGACTGCAATTTATAACTTACTGGTTGATAACGTTGCCACCATGGACGACCATCAACAAGTGAATGTTCATTAGGTGGTGAAACCTATTCAAAGAGAATTATTTTGCATAAAAATAAGATTTCTTCTGATAAGATTTACTTGAATGGCTGCATATCCATAAGGTCCAAGAAATCGTTCGCATTCATTGGCTATGTCTTTCCATTTCCATTCGAACAAATGAACAGCTGTATGACGATTCGGTGCTGTATTAGGATCTTTCGTTGCATGAGTATCAATTATCAAAAAGCATGCGAATATTGAAATCAAGAAACCGACTTGCATTTTCCTTCTCAAAAAACAAGAACTGGATACATATTATCAATTTTTTTTTCTGGACCTTTTATAGTATCATTGGTAAATTGGTATTATTGATTTTAGAGAGATAGAAACAAATATCATAAGTTTTAATGAATATAAAGAGAGTATTAGATTACAAAGGAACACAATTTTAAAAAATCGAAAGAGGTGAGTTTTTCGTTAAAAATAAAAATATAAGACAAGAACCATCTAGACTTACATGGCAGCGTATTCTTTCAAAGTACAGATGATGAATTAATTGTTTTTTTTTTCGATATTTGATACAATAAAAAAATCGATCGAAGAAAAAACAGTTATTCATATTTTAAGAGAAGCATCGAAATTTTGTTCTTTATAATGATAAAGGATGCCGCCGGTTAAGAAAATGTTTGATATTTGAGATTGTTTAATATGGGTTTTGTAGAGCATTGAATGGGCTATCTTTCCATATATTTATTTTTTCTCAAGCCTTTTCAGTAACTGAGAACGACTGAAAATAATGTCCTCAGGTATTGCTTGCACCTGCTGATGAAAAATGGTCTACTAAAAATAAACGAAAGATGCCTAACAATTTCTTTCAGATGGCATTCGATAGAGCTTTAAATTCTCTACAAAATCATCTATTTCAAATTCATACATCACACTTGACTGTAACTTTAGAAGAGAAATCCTGGTAAAAATATAGCATTTCTGAAAAATCATGTTTTTACATAATGACCCGCAGATCTGAGAAAAAGGCGTGCCGCAATGAGATATTTACAAAAAAACTTTCTGAATACTGGGGTGATAGAGATATGAAAAGATTTGACAAAAATATTTCGGCCGAAAAAAATTATAGCCAAAATGCTAAAGATTTTTTGCATAAAAAAGCATAGAATCTAATCTTTTTGCGTCCAGATTTTCGTTCTATGTAGTTGTAATCACCGATTTCCAGACATATTTGAAATCAGGATGAAAAACTGAATCAAATGGTGTATGTTTCGATGTTTTTCATTGAACTTTTTTTTTCTCGAAAATCTCGCCTGTGGTCTCCCTCAGGGTTCCATCAAAAAATAAAAGTAGTCAATATACATGTTTTATCACTCAGATGTCTATTATTTTAACATCTTAGCACTTTTCAGAAGATAAGAACTCAATTTTTTTACCGTTAGGATGATTTTCTTGTTGAACTTGTTTCATTCATTGGTTGACTGGATCCTCGGGTGGACCACAGGCGAGATTTTCGAGAAAAAAATAAGTTCAATGAAAAACATCGAAACATACACCATTTGATTCAGTTTTTCATCCTGA